ATTCCAGAAGAAAGGAATCAGAGAAAGACTGAACAGGTTTCAGGTGATAATATCTACAAACTGATCTCTCTTCCTACACATGTATATATATTATACTAAGAGCAATTAAATTTCAACCATTTGAAATTTATTGCCTGGACATACGCAGATGAGATTTAAAGGGTTTCATGTTATTCAGAACCGATACAGAAGCTAATGGTTTTGAAACCAAAACAATACTGTATAACTTTTACGGAAGGGAAAAAAATAAAGTTATTTATTCGGTGTACTCCCCCTAAAAAGCTAGTGACAAAGCCTGGAGCTCTAGACTGTTTTGCTTTCTTATGAAAGTGCAAGTGACTACTTTAGACAAGAAAGCTCCATGTGGCTCAATCCAGAGAAAGTGGTTCTTTCTTCTGCAACTCTGCTCTAATCATGTGGGGCTGCCCATAAAGACTATTTGAAAACCTCATGTGGTGCAAGACGCAGCCAGAAGGATGGTGACAGCCACTTGGCATTCTGATTTGATAGCATTTATCATGTCATAATTTCAACAGCTGCCTATTCATTGTAAGAGGCAAGTTGTAGATGTTAAATTCCTAAATGGTTCTGGCTCAGCGTATCTAAGAATATCAACAACAGAGGACAGTTTGCCTTTTGGTAAATAAAGGAAACATTCTGAGGTTTGTGGTTTCATGTTTTAAACTTGTTGAAATGACACTGGCTTCCAAATTACAGAAATAAACGAGGTTATTTTAGCCTCAGGGGGTTTCAGTTGTACCAATGGCCATTTTTTTTCTTCCTGTGAAATCTGATGATATTTTATACCTGATATGGTTATATTTCATGTTGGTGTTTTATACTGTTAAATATTTTTATGATGTCATTGATGGGACTTATGAATTTGCAAGTGAAATGGTAATTCATTGGAAAGATAGATAGCTTAATCAAAGCCTAATGTATTATTAAATTGTATTAAATAGAATGATCTGACTAATAGTTCTTATTTTTATTCAATGATTAGTATTTTTAAGAGTTATGGCTTTAATGACAATGATGAACATTTCTAATCCTCCCATTAACCAAAATTCTCTGAAGTATTACAGAATTACTTAAAGCGTTAAAATAATAAAAACAATAAACTATCTGAATAAAATATATAGATATAGGTATATGTGTTATATAAAACATTAAATATAGTAATAATAAGAATCCGAGGGAGAATATAATAAAACCATATAGGAACCACTATTCTGGTGTAATGTTGGGATTTCAAAAAAACTAACAGGAACTTAGAGAAAGTAGAAGATCTTAGATTGGTATTAAAAGACATCAACAAGGGCATCCCTGGGATGGTCATTCTATAAAAGGGGCCCATTTTCAGGTAGAGTTGTCTTTGTAGCCATCCACCTCACTTCTGTTGGTGGAGCCACCTGGTGAAAGACTCCAAGGTAGTCAGTGTTGGAAGGCTACTTTGGACATACAGAAACCAAGGACTAGATGAATTGAAGTGAATTCATCCTTGAACAGAATGTGACCTCTTTGCTTCTTTGTCTAATCGGGCAAGATAGCAACACACTTGTTTCTGCATGCCACAATGCCAGCAGGTGGCTTCCTCTATCATTGTACCCAGAATGCACAGCTGAAGGCAGAAGGGGAACCAAGGCAGGCTTTTGGCTGCCTACTACCTGCAAAATGGGTGGCACCATGGCTGGGCTGGTGTGCAAGGGTAACATTGCACTTGGAGCAGTTACTGTGGGGGTTGGGGGTTGCTGACAAGAACTGTTCCAAAATACTTCAAATATCTGGGGCAGGAATGGTGCTGACACCAACATGAAAACTCAGTTGATTTCTTCCAACATGGAACTCCACTCTCTTTCCTCTAGGTGGCTCCCAAGAGTGGTAGAAGATGCAGGCAGTAAAAGCAGGGGTGTAGTGAACAGAACATTGCGTAGGCTGGGAATTGGATTTTTGCTTTGGGGGATTTTCTTTTTGAGATTGAGATTTATTTTGCAACTTGGAGATCTTAAGACACATTGAGCTTTGAGACAATGTTGAGACTTCTTCAAAGAAGGTATGTTGAGCTTTTATATTTTCAGCTTGATTCAGAGTTTGTGTAGTTGTTTGTGGTGTGGGGAAAATATACACACCTACCTAACATTTCAAGGATGTTCTGGCATCACAGGCTGATTAGTGTGCTAATGATCCCAGCTTAAAGCTAATTCCTAAATGATCTGTGCAAATGTGGGAGCCAGGCCTTGGACAAAAGAAGTGGTTGTGTTTCCTTATAAGGATGTATGTGTGAATGATGTTTGAGAAATATAAAGTCTTGCCTCACCCAAACCCGCTTCTAATTGCAAGCTGCAGCAATATGGGCAGTGATGCAAGCTCTGAGCTGTGTTAAGAAAGAGCTTTATGAAACTTAGGAAACGCTGGGTAAGGAAAAACAAAAACTGGAGAATTTAGAGGCCTTTGCAAGGAGATTGGACGGTGACTTGCCACAAGCTGTATCACACAAACTCTATCTGGAGAAAGCAAGGACTAATGGAGCTGATAGAATCCATGTCTGAACAGAATGTAACCTCTCTGCAGGCCCGCCCAGCAAATGACTTCTTCTAGTGATTACACTGGAGTAATTTAATGAACTACTGAATATATGTTGAACATTCAATCTAATGAAGTACAAGTAATCCATCTAAATGCATAGATACATGGAGGGAGTGAATGCAACGTCATACTAGAGTGAACTAAAACAATGATGTACCAAAGAACAGGAGATCAAAGTATGACTGATGAATAAAGTATCAGGAGGAGGACATGAACTTCCATGATCAGGCTAGACCCTTCTGCAAATTATCTTCTGAATTGTAACAGTATTCCATGTCAAGATTGTTGAAAACCAGCGGGTCAGACTCCAACATGCTTAAGTTATAAAATACAAGACAAAGAAAAGCTCTGTGTGTAAGCTGGGAGAAGTGTGTGAAGTGTGTTAGGGTGTGTATGTAGGGGGGTAAAAGTGTCTCCATTCTGTAGCTATTGGGGTTGTTGCTTTTTGCCTGCTATTTCTTTCACTAACTTTTCCACACCGGAGAATCTTTCTGGAATCCAGAGGAGCTACAAGATAATTTTTGATAATTATCAGATTACTAATTTAGATAACCTCTCTGCTTACCTTGGTTGGGAAAACTGTGTTGATCAGCAAAATGTACTTCTAATTAGTTGTGCTGGAACTGAGAAATGTATTCAAAGGATCACTGTATTCAAGCTATGATGCAATAAACCTACTTAATTGTTGTAAATGAGTTTGTGTTTTCCTTCTCCCGAGTACCAGAAAACCTGGGCAGGTTTGTGTGAGAGAATATGGTCTTTGGGATGATCTAATATCGACTCAGAGGTTTATCATCAATCACCCTATAAAATAGCAAAGATAGAATTTCCTGCAAAGCATACGTGATGTAGTACCTAAATGTATTGCATTTCTGAGATGTTCACTTATAGTGTGCAGTGTCTCTTTTCTCCCGTGTAAGCCTGCCGGTGAAGAACTCTGAAACAGCAAAATCACATTTATGTTCCATTGTACCCTGGCTTTGAGAAAGGGGTAAGAACTGGTTGGCATAATTAAATGGAGTTCTATGGATCAAGTACTGAGATAGAATTTGGAATGCAGATTAAAAGGAAAGAGGCCAGCTGAATAGAAATGTCAGTAACTGAAGAAACATTAGTGGCATCACAAGCATGGTCAAGCGCATAGGTGAACCCAAAGAGACTTTTAAGGAAAAATTGAACTTTGCCCAGATTGTTGGAATAACATGGAAGACTGTCTCACTGAAGGTTGATTTTTCTGTACCGCCCCTGGGCTTCCTAGAATAGTGGTCTATCGCTTCTGGTGGCTTGAGGACCACACCCAACTTTGTGCACCACATCAAGGGCCACCATCCAAAAGTGGGTAGAGCCAGGGCTCCAAATGGTGTATAATGAGGAGGTGGTAAGAGATGAAATAGGTGGCTTACCCCTCTGCAAGAATTAAGGAACCCATTTGCCACTTACTATCTTAACACCCTCTGAACTACAGTGGAACCTCGGGTTACGAACGCTTCTGTTAACGAACTTTTCGGGTTACGACCAGCTCCGGCAGCAAAATTTTGCTTCAATTTGCGAACTCCGCCCGAGGTACGAACAGGATAGGCGGCCATTTTCCCTTCCGTGACACAGTCCGCGGCCATTTTCCGTCCCTGACACGTGGTCCGTGGCCATTTTTCCATCCCTGACATGTGGTCGTAGGGAGGGGGACTCTCCCTCCAAGCAATAGCCGCCTCCCTGTCCTCCATGCCAGAATGGATTAACGGTAATTACACTGAACCTTATGGGGAAATTTGCTTTGGGTTGCGACCAATTCGGGCTGTGACCAGAGTCACGGAAACGAATTAAGTTCGTAACCCGAGGTACCACTGTATTTCTGCCTCCACCCACTCAGATGGCCAGCTAATTAGCAGTTCCATATACATGTTGCCCAGCAACTGACTGGAGTTAGGGAAATCTCTCTCTCTCTCCCTCTCTTTCTTTAAATCTAAACTGTTTTGCTAACTCTATTATATACAGTGTAATCATCCTGTTATGAACCTGTGCGTGGGCCTCCCTCAGAGGGAAGTGGGTGCAAATGATGTTGTCATCACCCACATGAGATGACTCATGGCTTGCCCTCAGATTTTAAGACCTCACAACACACTAGGGCCATTTGGACAATGATATTCTGATGCACAGGTCATTGTTTTGATATCACTGTGGCATGTTATGGATATGAATGCTGTTGCCCTGATTTCCTACATCTTCAAAGGTATCTATTCCAAAATGTTTACCAAAAGGAATAGAATAAAATAGAATAAAAGGAATAGAGAGCCAGTCTGGGCTAGTGGTGAAGGCCTCAGGCTAGAAAGCAGGAGACGGTGAGTTCTAGTCCCGCCTTGGGCATGAAAGCCAGCTAACATGGTGAGCCAGTCC